TATGCCATTGAGGTCGGCAACGAGCCCGAGTGTAAGTGGAAATTGCCAAGCCTTTTTTATTGCGAAGCCAGACTGAACGTTGGTTTCTTTCTAGATTGGTCGGGAGTACAGCCCATTGCCGCGGGCGGATGGAGTCCCGCGCTCGATGCTGCGTCGCAGAATCACTGGGATATCACCGTCGGCAATGCCATTGGCAAGAAAAACATAATCCAGGCCGGCAACTCCAACTCTCTACCTCCCACCTGGGGAGCTGAGGAGCTCATCGCCAGCGGGAACGCAACGGTCAGAGAGTATGTGAAGACGTACGCACATCACAACTATCCCGGAGGGTCTGTGACTGGGTTGATGTCCCACTCAAGTATCTCAAGCAACGTTCACCTGTAAGTTGGTCGCGTGTTGTCACTTGTTGGGCTGCCAGACTAACGTGACCAGGTTCGACAAAGACATCGCCAGCGCGCTTGCAGTAAACAAGCCTTACATCTTTGGAGAGACAAACTCAGGTAAGTTACAGAGACACTCCCACACTTGTCATCTCCTACGGTACTTGGAGCTGACGAAGAATGAATGAAAAGTCGCGGGAGGCGGCGCAGCCAACGTATCCCCAACCTTTGGCGCAGCCCTCTGGGTCATGGACTACGCCGTCCGCCTAGCAATGTCCAAAGTCAGCAGAATCTACTTCCACCACGGCACGCTCGGCAACAACCCCTACGCCTTCTTCGGCCGCTACTCCAACGGTAACCCGTACGTCGGCGCCTACGCCGCAACAGCCTTCATGGCCGGCGGAAAGCACCTGGCCGCTCTTGACGATGGGAAATCCGCTCTGGCCGCCTATGTCACCTACGACGCAGCCGGCGCGCCGCTGCGCGCTCTTCTGTACAACTCCAACTACTACAGCGGTACGGGGACTCGAGCTGCCGAGTCGTTTGTGCTCAGCGGGCTGACGGCGACGGCGGGCCGGGTGCGGAGTAAGCGTGTGACTGCTGCCAGCGCGGAGGCGAGGCAAGATCGTGGCGGGAATGCTTCTTTTGGACAGCAGTTCTTCAACAATGGCACTTGCACGATTGGTGGGACGGAGACGTTTGAGACGACGACGGTCTCGGGCGGGCAGGCTACCTTCAGCGTGAAGGCTAGCGAGGCTCTTCTCGTCTACCTGCAATGAGTTTGATTTAGGCTTCGGGGTGTTAAGAAGATCCGATGATCACAAGGATGAGAGATAACATGAGGTCTTGGTTGAAACAAAGTATTGTATGGCGTCGATGCTTGTAGTTGTTGTGAAAGTGGGAAGAGAGAGGAAGAAGAGAGCAGAGATAACTCACTAAATCGGAGTCCCCGATACATACCCCGTTAATTGAATTAGTCGTCCAAGGGTTTCTCCATGCAAGCATAAGTTGTGGTGAAACTTTTTATCTTGTTTCCAGGCCCATTTACAAGTAGATCAGCATCGATTAAGTGGAAGGAAAGAACCAGAAACGACATTTCCCCGAGTGTTTCACATGCTAATCACCTATTTTGCCAATCACGACTGAAAAAGCTGAGGTAAGTGGTGCAGCAAGGCCAAGCGCCATTGCTCTAGTCTCTCATCTCAACGTCATTGCTCTCTCTCTCTATTTCTCTCTCCAATCCTTTTCAGCCTTAACGGAAGTACATTGCAGTAGAGCCCACCCCAACCCGTCTTGGCACTATCTGGGTACCTCTTCCCATGTCAGTCTGTTAAGCCTCCTTGACTGCAACTACTCCCTCATCGCTCTCAAACGACAACCTCTCTCTACACCTCTAAGCAAGTTTCATGACCATTGCCTCAATCTCATTACGACATCGTCTTCTTTCACTTCACTCTTCATCAGCCTGTTGTCGGCTGAGATTGATAAACCTGCATCGCTCTGCATCGACTGACTCTAGAGTACAGCTCACATACCGTGAATAGACCTACACATACGCCACACAGTAGACCTCACAATGGCCGATAAATACATCCTCCGTGTGACTGCAGGCCCAGGCTATGATCTGGACTGTCAAACAGAAGTCCCCGTCAACCAAGCCAAGCCCACCAAGATCACCAGCGCCCTCGCCGACATTGAGCTCAACGTCAGGATACAAAACTACGCCGGCCTCCCTCGCAACTCACCCTCTACCTCACCCTACTTCTCCGAGGAACCGCACGCCACCAATAAAGACCAGTACAGTATCTCTTTCCGCTTCACGCCCAAAAAGCCCGCAAATGCCTCCTCATCGGCCGACGGCATATCGGCCGAGGACCTGCAGTTCGGCAACGACTTTGACCACCCCATCCGCGACCGTCTCCCGCCGGGCTTCAACACAGCGCTCAACATTGTAAAGTGGTGGATCGACCCCGGTCTGGACGGCGACGCCTATGCCGATGTCCCTCATCTCTACGGCCCCGCGCTGAGCTCCTTCAACACCATCCACGTGGGTTCCGGCGTTCACGATGAAGAAAAGGGCGGGCTATGGTTCGAGGAGGGAGGCAACGAGGCCGGCCTCGAAGCACGAGAGAAGATTGGTGCGCCGGCCACGTCCAAGGAGCGCATGAAGTGGGCGCTCCGCAAGGATAGCAAGGAGAACTGGCTGTTTGAGTACGGCAAGACATATGGCTTGGACTTTTTCAACGCCTACCTCGACTTTGCCAACCTGGCGTTGCGCTTGCCCGGTTACCAACTTGCCATTATGAAGTACTGGGACGGCCAAGGCCTTCGGTGAGTTTCTGCTCCTCCCTTTTCCTATTCGTAAAGCCTGTTTATTTGCTTCTCTGCGAGTCGAACTGTTTCCGTAATATTGTTCACATCTCGCGCCATGGCCGTCATTTTCGACTTGTGCTATTGACCTTGGGAGGAAAACGATGTACAGCAACATGAACACCCTGAGGTGGCTTATCAAAGCACGCTTATCAATGTTCTCTTTTTTTCCTTTTTCATGTCATTCTTACCAGCAGCAGGGAGGGGGAGCCTAAGCGCTCACATACGCTTAGATACGTTCTCCGGAACAAAACCACCGGCGACGTCTACCTCGTCGTCCTCTTCGAGATCCACCTCAAGGACGATGTGAACGAAGACGGCACGCTGAAGACCAGTGCCAGGGGCGTCAAGACTAGTACACTACCGCCGCCGGTCAAGGATGACCACGAGCCTCACGACGAGGCCAAGGCGCTTGAGGAGGCTAGGAAGAAGATGGGACCCGCTGCGCACGAGACGGAAGAGACCAATGCCGACGATGTGGACTAGAGTGATGGGCCGATTGCACTTACACGAGATGTGTGAAGCTTTCGTGGTCAGATTTGGCCGATTCTTTTTGCCCTAGAATATGTCGGAAAGCGAGGCAGCATGACTGATAGACACGAAGGGCTGGTCGGTAGAGAGCAGAGTCGGGCCTATACATACAATAATAAACAGCCCTTGCTCTGCAACACGTTACCTCGGTATTTCCCTGGACCCTTTGGAAAGAGTTTGAACAAGAGCATGATGGTCGTTGTCAATTCCGCTCACTTGGACCAGACAACCAAATGTCAACAGAACCTTGGGGACGAACACGAACAACGCGCGAGAGCTTCAACCAAATGCATTTCATTAAACGTCCAGGAAAATGTGCGAAAATATCGAGAGAAGAGATCTCTACACCACATCAGGGAACGGACCTACCCACCTTATGACGCCTCCTCGCATCGTAATGAGATGCTACCTGGTCCACTGTCAAACCAACGGAAATAACTAGGCTTTTTGCCATTGTCCTCTCGGCAGCGCGTAGAGTATCCAGACCAATACTCTAGTCAAGCCTTGGTATGAAGTCATACACGGCTAAGAACTGCTTTCTCATCTGCCTCTCTCCAAAACTCGGGATTCAGCACGGCGAGCATGTAAAGCAAACGTGGGAAAGTGTTCCTGAACCCCTGTCCGCCATGCTGTGGGTGTGACGAATGCCGCGCCGCACGCCGAGACTGAAAACCCCCCATGGGCGCCCCGGCCGAAAATCCAGCCTCTGTCCGTCTCCGTGGACGATTTCGTGCCCCGCCGCCGAGGATTACGGGCCGCTTGGCTGCATCGCCGATCGTCATCCGACAGTTTACTCACGTCCTCTTCTATCTCTATTCGGCGAATGTTTGTATTGTGTAGCCGTGGAGGCTTTTATCGACAATGAGGGCGCGGGTCGACGTGCTACCTGTGGCACCGCTGACATTCTCCTCTTCTATCTTTTGCGAACCATAGTCGGTGGAAGCTCTGTTCGCCGCAGATATCATGCGCCACTTAAACCTAATTATCAACAATCTTTTTCTCGTCAACCTTCGCTTTTTACACAACTTGCACTCTTGCGATAGGCTCAGAGGCACTGACAGTAATGTCAACATCCCATTCCAGGGACGAGGCACTTGATTCAAAGTTCATGAGATCCAGCTCGCATCCAAACGAAGGGGACACGCCGGGGAAGCAGTTAAACGAACCACGTCCGACCTATACTCGTAGACGGAACTCACCCCCACAGTCTACTCGTAACCTCTACAGCCCGACAGTAGCATCAATATCTCTCCCAGTCACACCAGACGACGCATCGTTCCCCACCGAGAACCTCTTGGACATACGCAGCCCGGCTCGAAGCCGAGCCTCTGTTCCCCATATTTTAGTCTTGGAACGCGCCCATTCCTCCATGTCCAGTATGCCAGAGCACCGGCTCGTTGGCCAGAGATATGCCGCCGTGAAGTCCAAGGGCAAACTTCCCCCTCTCTTTCCTGAATCCTCCGAAATCCAGAGGCCCACAGGGACGTCTTGCTTGCAGAAATCCTGACGTCTTCAGACTATTTAACCTCCTCAAATATCAAGGAGGCCCGCTTCTGTCCCTCGAGGTCCCTCTTCCCCCCCCCCAGATTTCGTCTTCTTCCGTTCATGCCATCCCCCAAAGTCGTTGCAATATCAAAGTCAACACTCTATACTGCCGGCAGATAGGAACCGGCCCCCATATAAGCACATTGCCAGACGCCCCGGCTGGGCACAGAGAATATGCCTCCCCCAAAGGTCGACACAGAGGCCCCTCCCGTCCCGGAAACCACCCCCTCCTCCCGCACCTCCGGCAGTTACGCCGGCGACGGCCGCGGGCCCGGTCCCACCAACACCAAAACCACCTCCACTCCCACCGGAGGAGGAGGAGGCCGCGCATCGACCGCCGCCCTCCTCCGCAACCCCCTCGTCGGCCTCACGCACGATGAGATCCTCAAAGATGCAGACACCTTCACCGAGGCAAAGGGCCTACAGGAGCACCGTGAGGTCTTTCGAAAGGGTGCCCTGGTCGCGCAGGTGATTAACCGCCCCGACGGCTTCGAGTCCGTCGCAGCCCTCGACGAGGAGGAGAAAGCTGTTCTGCGAAATGAAGTCTCGCATCGCTGGCATCAGCCCATGTCACTCTACTTTTTGTGTGCTCTTTGTGCGGGTTCGGCTATAGGTATAGGAGACTCTCTTGAGTTGGGAAGTTGAAAGATGCTAATGTGTTTTGGCTTACAGTCCAGGGTATGGATCAGACAGCCGTCAACGGCGCGCAGGTATCCATCCCCTTCTCCATCAAAACATGAAGGTCTGATGAAAATCTAACGGTTGTGCCCCAGGAATTCTACTACGAGACGTTCGGTCTCCAAGACGACCCAACAATGCAGGGACTAGTCAACGGCGCGCCCTACCTCTGCTCCGCCCTCGTCGGGTGCTGGAGCTCCCCCATCTTGAATAAGTACACCGGCCGCCGCGGCACAATCTTCATCTCGTGCTTCATGTCCGTTGTCACCGGCTTCTGGATGGCTGCCGCAGATAGGTAGGTGGACACGCATATACATACACCGAGCCAGCCAATATTGTAGTCTGAAGTCACTGACCCTCATTGTAGCTGGTACAATCTCCTCATCGCACGCTTCTTTTTGGGTTTCGCAGTGGGCGCGAAGAGCAGCACGACACCCGTGTACTCTGCCGAGAGTACGCCCAAGACTATCCGCGGTGCTTTGACGATGATGTGGCAGGTGAGCAAGACCTGGGTCAAGGCAGAAATGATTGCGTGGTGCCGAACTAACTTATGTCTTCGTCCAGATGTGGACAGCCTTTGGTATCGCGCTGGGCTTCATCGTATCCGTCGCCTTCGCCAACACGGATTTCCTCGGACCAAACACCCAATGGCGTTGGATGCTAGCAAGTACCTCCGTGCCGCCCCTTATCGTCATGGTACAGGTAAGAACTCTTAATCCACCTTCTTTCACATCTTTCCATGTAATCCCGTTCCTCTTCCGCCATTTGTAACGAGCTTGACCACACCCGCCCTTCCTACCCCCTCGCTTTCTATCTTTCCCACTTCAACTACGACAGGGGGCAAACAATCTTCTTCATTAGTCGGGTCTACTCACTCACCGATCCCCAGGTCTACTTTTGCCCAGAGTCTCCAAGGTGGTATATGGAAAAGGGTAAATACCAACACGCCTTCCGATCGACACTCCGGCTACGACACCACCCGGTCCAGGCGGCCCGGGACATGTACTACGCCCATAAGCTCCTGGAAATCGAGACAAAGGCCCGGAGCGGTCGCAACTGGAAGGACTTCTTCACCGTTCGGAGGAATAGGCGCGCTGCGTTGTCTTCGTATTTTGTCATGTTTATGCAACAATTTTGCGGTGAGCACCATCCCCGTTTTTTCTCCTTCAGCAAACATGAGCATCCATCTAACGAACAACTCTACCCATGAAGGCATCAACGCCATGTAAGTATTCATCTCCCACCCTCCACTCCCTCAAGCACACTGCATGTAACTAATACTCCCCAAGGATGTACTACTCCACAAACATCTTCGAAACATCCGGCTTCGACCGCTCAACAGCCCTCCTAACCTCAATGGGAATGGGCCTCATCAACTGGCTCTTCGCCCTCCCAGCCTTCTACACAATCGACACCTTCGGCCGCCGCAACCTCCTCCTCGTAACCTTCCCCCTAATGTCCCTCTGCCTCTTCTTCACGGGCTTCTCCTTCTTCATCCCCGAAGGAACAGGCCGCCTCGCCTGCGTCGCGACGGGGATATACCTCTTCGCAGCAGTCTACTCCCCCGGCGCGGGTCCCGTCCCCTTCACCTACAGCGCGGAAGCCTTCCCCTTGCACATCCGCGACATCGGCATGTCTTCCGCTACTGCGGTGACGTGGGGTTTCAATTTTATCATCAGCTTCACGTGGCCTCAGATGATTTCTTCGTTTGGGGTCACGGGCGCGTTTGTGTGGTATGCGTGCTGGAACCTCGTCGGGTTCGTGGTGGCGTACTTCTTCCTGCCCGAGACAAAGGGTCTGACGCTCGAGGAACTCGATAGCGTGTTTGACGTAAAGAGTCGCGATCACGCTGGGTACTATGCCTCCAAGATGCCGTGGTACGCGAAGAAGTATATCCTACACAAGGATGTCGAGCCATTTCCTGCGCTGTATGAGATGGACGGTGAGGATGAAATGGGATACCATGGTGAGGGAGGAGGGCGGAAAGCTAGTGTTCATCACGACGAGACAGGGCTTGTTACGGGACAATCTACTGAGAAGTAGATGTCGTAAGAAATGGAGCTTTTTGGTGGCTAGCTGAACGGAGGCAGACAAGTGCTTCGTAAGGATGTACAAGCCTGGACTGGATCGGATAGCCTGCTTTGGGCATTTGACTCGGAATGCTGGATGTAAAGGACTTTTGCATTGTTTAATTGCGTTCTCGTGAACTTTTACTGTACTGCGTCGACGTGGACACGGCGCACAACTTATAATGAGAGCAAGTCTTCACAAGGACGCCATTCAAGTCTAAATGATATGACACACGGGAAAAGATGTTGCCAAGTGTGTCTTGTACAATGCTACCACTACGTGTGGCTTCCATAACCTCTACCATGTTCTGATGCTATTCTCATGATGCGTGAAACTCCGTGTTATGCGTTTGAGCAATCCAGTCCGTCCACAAGACCAACTAATGCTAAGCGAGACCGATCCAACATCCGGATATGCGTCAAACGCTCTCCAGGGTACCCAACTAATCCCAGCTCATCCAATTGGATCTGAGCACATCGTCCTCCTCAGTCGATTCTTCTGCTGTTTCTTTCCCCTTCTCTGTCTTCTTTTCCTCGTCCGAGGAGCTCACCCTCCCGTCTACGAGTCAATCCCAAAGTCCTTCTAACGAGTCGCTCACTGGAACCAGTTCACGACTGCTCACCTCAAGCACCTCCTTATCGCTCTTCGGCGTCGTCTCCAACTCATTCGCAGGTCCGTGCAACCAGTTGCCCTCATACGGGTCCGGGTCGGACATTGTGTCTTCCGTGTGTGACTCAACATCGCCGTCAGAAGAGTGAAGGTCTGATGTCTCCATCTCATCCGTGTGCGAGGTTGCCTCGCCCCTCGATGGCGGCGCTATCAGCTCAAATTCTTTTGCTGGTGTCATCTCTAGGCTGCTCGGTTTTCGGGCGTGGAATAGAGATGATTCCGACTTTCGTGAGCGATGCAGTGGCGGTGTAACAGGCTTGCCAAAGTCGAACTCAGTGGCCTCAAGTTGCGCTTGGTTGATCGGGCTCGTCATCGGTCCTCTAACCAGCGAAACATTGTAATGGCTCTTGGCTGCCCTCTTGAGGCGTGGTTTGCGAACAATGACAGGCGAGGAGCTACCATGGCCATGCCTGGCCCGCATCTCCAATCGTTCCTCCTCCTCCGTCTCTTCGTCTGTAAGCACGTTCTCCATCAGACGTCTGTGATGTGCCATGAGTTGCACGCTGCTACCGGAACATCTACGCTGCCTGTTCTTCACGACTTCGGTGTCTAGCGTGAGAGCGGGAGCTACCGAGGACGTCTGCTTTGGAAGAGCAATCGACTTGGGCCAAGGTGGTGGCAAGGCGATGCCGGTGGTTAGCCTTCTCAAGTCAACCTGACTGTCCGAGAACACGACGCGAGCTCGCAAACGATGGACCGCCCTGTCCAGCGCGAGCTCGATGGCACAACGATCGCGGATCCGGCTCAATTTCGGCCACGCAGCACGCTCGCCCATCAAACAGGCTCTCAGCATGAACTCGGGACTCGGGTTGCTGAGGATTTTTGGAATGTCATGCACATTGACTTCCGGGAGAATGTTGATGTCGCCCGAATACTTCTGGCTGAGAATGCTCCTAAGCTTAGTGACGAGATTTGGAAAAACGCCAATCTCGGCAAGGAAATGCAAACGATGCAATGCCTCGTCTTTGGCGAGGGCAGTGAGGGCGAAGACCCAGTCGAGCTCTTGCTTGCTGGGTGACAGGCTGGACCCCTGGCGTGTCGCGAAATCATCGGGATCCAGCTGGTCATCACGAGCCAGAAATGGGGTGACGTGAGGGTTCACTTGAGAGACAATGAAGTGATTTACGTTGAACATTTCTGCAAGCCTCGTCATGGGCAGATCGTTGTCCACAGACCCGTCAATCCATCGTTGCGGTGTCGGGTTCCAGGGCATATGTTCGCCGGTGTCGGGGTCCTTTACGAGCAGCGGAGCAGCGCTGAATACTAGGGGTACGGAGCATGATGCAGCTACAGCAGACCAGATCATGACATTGGGTGCCGTGATGTAGTTCAACAGACGCGGCAACTCGTACATGGATTCTGTCGAAACGCAAATATTGAGGACGCGGCGAGTTCGGTTGTACGCTTCCTGAAAGGTAAGGTCTCCAACCAAACCACGCATCACGCGGGTCAGGTGTTTGATATCGGACCAGCTTCCCTCGGTGAGTAGCCTTCGCATGTGGTCAAAGACGCCGTCGGGGTTCTCCTCGGCATCAAAGACAGCCAGGTCGCCATAGGGAAATTCCTTTACAAGCCGAGGAATCTCTTCATCGGTCCTCGTACAGATTACGGCCGAAACGATGGAACCTGCTGAGGCTCCTGATATGATGCGCGGGAGCAGTTTGACTTCGAAGAGGGCCTTAAGAACACCAATATGGGACATACCCAGGGTCCCGCCTCCACTCAAGAGCAGTGCACTTCGACCAAAACTCTGGCGGGCGTACAGGACGCTCTCGAGAATGTCCCTCTGGCCCATGCCTTCGGGCAACGCAAACTGACTCTTTTCTACTAGGGCATCGATCGTCTGCATGGCCGAATCGACGTATCGTTCGATGAGACTCTTTGTGCCTACGTAGGAGTGCCTATATAGATCGACGTTCCCCATGCCACCGAGGTCTCTGCATAGGGCGGTTCGAACGAGGTGCATCATGGCACGAGTGTCGCAATTCGTTCGTGCATCGTTGAGTTCCTTCAGTCGTGCTTCGATCAGGGCTGGGTTGTAATCTCCCGAATATGGGTCGAGTTTCCAAAGGTCGTTTTCCTCGAGGATGTCGAGCTCTTCTGCGGCTTCCTGCCATTGTTTCCTGTTTTCCGCCTACGTGGGGACAATTTGTCAGCTGACCTGTTTGAAGCTGGTACAACATGTGGGACTGGACAAGAGGCAAACGTACATTTTTCATGTGAATGGAGAGCACAAGCCTTCGCTCCTCCTTTTTCCTCCTGTTCTCCCGTTCCAGCTCAGACAATCCATCACGAAGAGACAATACAAGGTTATTGGCGCCCTTGATGGCCCGGGATATTGAATCAAAGGCAGCATTCAGAGGCGTCGGTGGTTGTTGTTTCTTGATGGAAGAAGGGCGGCCGGGTTTGGTCGAGGCCGAGGGGCCAGAGGGGGAGGAGGACTTGACCCGGACCGCGGGCAGTGGGTGGACAGGATTAAGGAACACGTCGTTCATGATGGCGAGGGAGGATTTGGGTCGAAGGTAACGATGGTGGTTCGGAGGGCTAGGTGGAAAGTCGGAAAACGAAGCTGGTGGACGAGAGGCAGCCCTGGTGCCGTCCGTGTCGCATCACAGCCTTGGAGCGTGGTTGTGCAACAGACTCCTGACATGTGCTTTTTCTGGTTGTTGGGTTGTTGAGGGCGGTCAGAGCATGCGCGCGTCGGTGTGTCGTCGCGACGGCGGCGAGTTCGGAGGGGTAGAGCAAAGTAGCGTAGGGTGGTGCGGAGAAAAACGAGGTGGGAACGCAGGCAGCGAACAGGTCGAGCGTCTTCCGAGTCTTGTTGTTCAAGATATAGTTTCTTGAAGGACTAGAAAGTCAGACAAGCGTCGTCGGGGAGAAGTTCGTATAGCAAGCCAGTGACAGGGCTTCGGTTTCAGTGAGTACTCAGACAAAGAGTGCGAAAGTAGGCGTTGCGGCTGTCAGATGATTCCCATGACCGTGTTTTGGTGATTATGGTAATCTTTGGGTGACACAGGCTCAGGCAGACAGGGAACAGTGTGCAGATCGCCGAATTGGAGCGCAGATGACCGGACAACCTGGTAGGGAGGGGGGTGTTGGACTTGTCGGAGGTGTCGAAAGAGTCGTTTCTGTTGGGTGGGGGTAGAAGAGGCGTTGAAGGACTCGGGAGTACCAGTAGGTAGAGAGAGAGAGAGTAACCTTCCTCGGTAGTAGGTGATGACAAGAAGGGAAAAGAGGAACAGGCGGGCGCAAGCGGGACGAGTTGGTTGGTCAGATGGCGAGTAGAGTGGTTGAAACTTGGAGGCGAGTGTACCAAGGTGAAGCGACGGACTGACTGGACGGTGTTCGATGTCGTCTCGGTAACTGGGCGAGGCAGAACTGAGTAAAGGGAAATAGCAAGAGAACAACAGAGGGAGACTGAAGGCAAAAGGAAGAGAGGATGTGTTGGTAGAGAGGATCGGGAGGGGAAGGGAGAGAGTGTTGTGAAGAAAGAAGAGCGGATGTATTAGGTGCCCGAAGTGAGGTGGAATTGGAAACTTGGCAACGTCGAGTTTGGTTTGGGAGACGAGAGAAAGAAGTGGCCCAGTGACAACGTTCGGCCGTCAGTGGCCGGGAATGGAACGTGGAGAACCTGGCACGCTTGGGAGAGAAAAAAGTGGATGGTGATGACAGTCGTTGCTGCAGACCCCACGCAATACATAGTGGAAGGGTCGGGGGGGGGGGGGGCTCATCTCAGTGCTGTTAACTCCATTAATCACTACCTATTATTGCTTACCCGACCGTCCAGACTCCCGCCGTGCCGCCCTGAGGCAGAAGAGCAGGCGGGGCCAAGGGGAGCATGCTGCATACCGCCCTCAGGGGTCCACGTGCCAACGTCTCTGCGTCACAGCCAGACGTAATAGGCGATTCAGTGGTAACCGATTGGTCGATCTGGATCTACCTTACCTCAGCAACTCAAGTACGAACCTAAGGTACTTCTCCCGTTACTCTAGTACCTAAGTATATTACAGAAAAACCACAGATGCTCTCGCAGACGTAATAACAGACGCAATCACAGATGCAGCGACAGACGCACAACATCAGAGGCAGCATACCTTACATCCTGCAGAGTACACAAAGTCTGTGTCTCTCGCTGGGATTCTCGGCTCAGGCGCTGGGCAGATGACCTCTGCTTGACGGCCCCACCCCACCATCATGACACCCCCAGTGCCCCCCTTCTCCAGACTCTTCCAGCTTAGTGGCCCACCCCGGATTTGGGGATCCTGGGGGTACGGAGCACCTCAGAAGGGGGTACGGAGGGGCAG